AGGAGAAGGAGAAGGAGAAGGAGAAGGAGAAGGAGAAGGAGAAGGAGAAGAAGAAGAAGAAGAAGAAGAAGAAGAAGAAGAAGAAGAAGAAGAAGAAGAAGAAGAAGAAGAAGAAGAAGAAGAAGAAGAAGAAGAACTGGGATTGTGAAAGATCACTAATTCTTATCAGACATTTCTATAATTTTATTAAGATAGTATGTATTATTCTTGTGATCCTAAAAAAATGTATTAGGCAAAAATGAAGTAATGAGTGTCCCAGTGAGAAATACACACCTATTACATATTCATTTTATAGAACAAAGAACATGCTTTTTCAGACCGTGTCCCAAACTCATGGCCTAGGACTGAATATGGGTGACTACTTAGTGAATCTCTCGGGCCACTTTTGTGTGCGGTTTGCTTCTGTTTGCTCCTGTGCTGGGATCCAACCCAGGGGCTGGCATGAGTGAGGTGAGCATGGTCCCCTGAGCTGCATCTTCAGCCCACAGAGCTCCCTGACTTGGAAGCAATTGGTGATAGGGATTTCAATCCATCATCTCAACAGATTCATATTAAAATTATTATTTTAGGTTTAAAAGTTGCATGGTTTAGTTCTTGATTTAATATTCTGATTTTTGTGGTCACACTTTGTAACTGAATGTTGTTCAGTTTCTAGAATGTCACCAACACATAAACAGGGACCCTTGTTTAGTTTTTTTTTAATGTTTAAAGGACTGATCCTAAAGCCTCAGTCCTCCTGATGGTATTACAAGACCCATTCTGAGTTTGCCCTGGTGGTGCACATCTTTAATCCCAGCACTGAGGAGGTAGAGGCTGGCAGATCTCCATGAATTCAGGCAGCTAGTTCTATTACAGAGTTCTAAATACTGAGGCTAGCCAAGGGTACATAGAGAGACTGTATCTCAAAAAGGCCGTGAAAACCATATGCACAAATAAAAGGCATTCTGAAAACTGATGTTGAAGTTTGTAAAATTCTGCCTTTAAACCAGCAATGTTATAAACAGAACTTGGCTTTGCTCTTTGTAAAGGAGAGGTGGGTAAAGAGTTAGTGATTTCATTTGCAGTAGCATTCAGGGAACTTACTCTGGTTTGAGACCAAGTCTCATAAGCCCAGGTTGGTCTTGAACTCACTAGTTTCCTGATTTCACCTTTGAAATCTAACTTGTCAGGCACAGACTCTGGAAGAGCAGTTTTAAAATATTAAGAATTAACATTTATGTCAGTAGTACACGCTTGTAGTCTCATTTCTCAGGAGTTGGAGACAGGAGGACAGAGACTATGAGGTAGCCTGGTAGTTTAGAGCAACACCCTGTCTAAAACTAAGCTAATAGGTCAGGCATGGTGGTGCATACCTTTAATCCTGGCAGTCAGAAGGCAGAGTTAGCTGGATCTGCATGGGTTTCAGGCTAGCCTAGGCTACATAGAGAGAGATCTAGGCCTGTGAGAACTACCTAGTGAGCTCTGTCTCAAAAAGAAAAACGAATAAAAGATAGAATGAAAGGAAGGAAGGAGAGAAAGAAAGGGAATAAATAAATAAATACAAAAAATGAAAAAGATACAGTGTGAATATAATACAGGGCAGTAAGTGGCTTTTCCCACACACAGCTGAAGAATAGACTGACATTGAAATAGTGAAATGATAAGCTATAAAAACTCTACAAACAGACAAAGAAAGGCTGGGGCTGGAGCACAATGATAGAGCACTCACCTGCCATGCCCCATGCCCCAGGTTTAACCACAGTGGAGCCAAAAGGAAAACTGGGAATGAAATGAAGAAGTAGAATCCATTGTAGGAAACTGTTGAGCGCTCATTCTCCAATTTCACCTTCTTATCACAGCGGCTGTGGGTTCTTTCCCAGAAGTGCGTGGAGTGGTGGGTCACCCTGTGACACTGCCATGTTCTTATCCGGTGTCTGATGGGATCGCCTTCATGTGTTGGGACCGAGGGGAATGTAGGGATATATGCAGACAAACACTCATCTGGACCGATGGACACAGAGTCTACTATCGGGCAGACCGTCGCTACAAGCTGAGGGGGCAGCTTCTTCAAGGAAATGTGTCCTTGACTATAGAGAATGCCACTGAGAGGGACAGTGGGCTCTACTGCTGTCGAGTGACGAAGAAGGGATGGAATGGCGTACAGAGGCTGACCACCTCACTGCAAGTTCAGCCAGGTGAGTGTGCCTTGCTGCTTTATTTATGTCCTACAAGGGAACATGCTAGGGAACCAAGGTTCTGTTTACTAGAGATTTGTTCTTTTCCTAGAACAAGGAAATGAAGGTGTTTATAAACATGCTGATGATTAAATACTTGCGTTTTATTATTTTTTAATGACATAATCTCATGTATTGTGGGCTGTTCTTTAATGGTCCTGTCCTCCTGGTTTTCCAGCCTATAGCACTTTAGTCCTGATGATTCACTTGTATACCACCTACTTGTTTATTTATTTGTAACTGCTAAGGTCAACCTAATTCAAGAAGACCATGGGCTAAGTCAGGATCCAGGTCCTAAGTGTACTTGGGACCTTCTTGTTGGTCCAGGAAACTGCATCCACTCTCCATCCTGAAACTTGCCGAGGAACTTTATCTAAGCTGAAGTGATTTGAATGAAAGGCTGTCCTCTGCCTCGGAGTCAATGTCTTGTGACATTAAGTCACCTGTCCTCTACACTGTAAAAGCCCAGCAGCTCTAACCTGAAAAGCAGGCCACGCAGGGTGCTGCTGCACTGATGAGCTGGCTTCGACAAAAGTCAGCTGACCTTGCTGAGCACAGGCCTTGTGTATAGGAGGACGAGAGTTCCACTCCAGGTCTGCCCTGCCTTGGGCTTTAAAAGAATCCTCACATCTTGTCTTTTGTACAAGGACGTGGCCACGAGGGAAAGTGTTTCTCTCCCAGTGCCTGTGCAGTGGGGACCAGTGGGAAGGTCATGAAGGCCCCAGTTCTTAAATCATCACAGTTTCCACTGTTATGCGGCATCATTTTCATAGCAAGAGCAGAGCCACGAGGATGCAGTTTCTTCTGCTGATGCCCCTAATCTCCTTTGCGAAGGGCTCACACTGACAATTGACAGCAATTCCAGCTGTCTCTTCTTTTAAAATTCAGCTCATCTCCATCGTTTGTCGTTGCTCAGCCTTGGCAGTTTGTTCCTTGTTTTCTTACTGATCTGTTTGTTTTTGACCCGGAATCTCACGGCGTGGTGTGGACAGTGAAGATCTCTCAAGTAGACCAGACTATCCTTGAACTCACAGATCCAATTGCCTTTGTCTTTTGACAGATGAGCTCAAAAGCCTGTTTCACAGTGCCCAGCTGCTTGAAATTATTGGCAGTACGCTGGTATCGAGCGTAGAAACCATTTCACAGTGTTGACAAGTCCTCTGTCTGGCTAGTTAAGGGGTTCAAAAGTGACTCTGTTTCATCCTTAACCACGACTTCTTGTGATTTCCTGTGTATTTTAACATACTGAGCTTCCTCTTTAGATGTCTTAGGACCCCCATCAGCTCCTTCGGGCTTTCCCATCTGCCTGGGAGAAAAATGCCCCAGAACAAGAAAAGCAAAGCTCCCAAACTTGTGGCTTCTTTCCTGGTTGTTCTCATAGGGGTCTTAGGACTAGAATGTTCCCATGCTAGCATTTCTCTGTGAGAGATTCATTCTGTCCAGGGAAGGTTTGTATTGTGCTTAAACCTCTGCCCACACAGTAGAATCAATCACCAATCTGATAGTTTGAATTGAATAGTGTGAACAATTTGAATCAAATAGTGTGAACAGTTTGAATCGAATAGTATGAACAATTTTAATAGAATAGTGTGAACAGTTTGAATCAAATAGTGTGAACAGTTTGGATTGAATAGTGTGAACAGTTTGAATTGAATAGTGTGAAAAGTTTGAATAAAATAGTGTGAACAGTTTGAATAGAAATAGTGTGAACAGTTTGAATTGAATAGTGTGAAGAGTTTGAATAAAATAGTGTGAACAGTTTGAATAGAAATAGTGTGAACAGTTTTTTGCAGCACAGTCGCACCCACTCCTTGCTATGTTATCAGCAGTGATTTTTAGTGTGACTGGCATGAATATGCACTCCTGAACACCTGGTTCCTGAGTCCAGGACACATAACTCTCAGGCCCTCTGTAGGAAAGGGACTTGAGGACCAGTGAAATGGTTCAGTGGGTGTCTTAATTATGGTTTCTGTTGCTGAGACACCATGATCATGGCAACTCTCACAAAGGAAAAACTTTCACTTGAGTTGGCTACAGTTTCAGAGGTTCAGTCCATTACCCTCACAGTGCAACATGGTGAATACAGGCAGGCATGATGCTGGAGAAAGAGCTGAGAGTCCTACATCTTGACCCACAGGCAACAGGAAGTGAACTGTCTCATGGGTGTAGTTTGATCACCCGAGACCTACAAGCCTGCCTCCATATTAACTCACACACTTCCTCCAGAAAGACCACACCTACTGCAACAAAGGAACACTGCCTAATAGTGCCACTCCCTTTGGGGACATTTTCTTTCAAACCACAAGAGTGGGTAAAAGTGACTATGGCCAAACTTGATTACCTAAATTCAGTTATTGCAGCCTACATGGGAGAAGATGAGAACCAACTCTCAAGCTGTTGTTTGACGTTAACACATTGGCCATGGAAAATTACACACACACACACACACACACACACACACACACACACACCAGAGAGAGAGACAGACAGACAGAAAGAGAGAGACAGAGAACAACAGAAATGAATGAAGAAATACAATTTTTAAATTTTAACAGTGGGCTGGATTCTACTTCTACTAGCTTCCTGCATATAACAGGTAAACACATTTCTTTTCCTTCTTTGAAGGTAAAACCTGGCTCAATTCAAATGCCATCACATCTACTGCAGAGCAGAGTGTTCAGAGAAGTTGTTCCCAGTTCCTGGGGTTTATTTTGTAGTCAGCAGAGTTAGCATCGCTAAGAGCTGCTTGTGTGGAAGCCGTCAGCTGACACAAGCACTGTGTGCTCCTTCTGGACTCGGTCATGGGCTCTTTCCTTCAGGCACCGTTTCCCCTCAACTCCAGTCTTGGCGTTCTGTGCACCCCCTGAACATCAGTAAGCTGCTTGGATTCCTGCAGCATTTCTGATTTCTTTTCCTGATTTGTGAATTTCAGGTTAAAACTGCTTTGTCCCAGTATCAGATCTGCAGTGCTTTAAGATCTGAAATCTCTTGGGCGTGGCCTTCATAATATACCTAGAAAATTCAATGCCTTGAAGTATTCATACACAGAATTATCAATAGTTTATAAACCTCCCTATATGCTATGTATATAGAGTATATGGGTATGAGTGCTACATCTGTCCATATTTAGACATGAGCCCCATATGTGAGCTAGACATAAACTGTTACAAAATTTTCAGAATTACCCAAATTCTGAAACTCCTCATACCATTTTTTTTTGAAAAGATATATTCAACCTGTTTCTCTTAGCTTGGAAGAAACCACAGACAAATTTGTCTCTTCCCTATACAAATACGCCCATCATTTAGTGTTGGGCCTTGCATGGAACCTCTTGTGGGCCAACTAGCCTAGTTAGCCTTGCGATGTAGCACTGTGTGTGTGTGTCCTCTCTAGACTAGAACATACTCAGAGTACAGTCTGCGGGTGAAGTTAGTCACCATTGAGAGGAACACACTCAGTCCCAGTTCCCAACACCCACTCAGTGTCACAGAGATGCTGAGAGAGATGTGAGGATGTGACCTATCACTTAGAACATGTTTCAGTAGGAATGTGGGCTCCGTTCTCATCTCCATGCTGTCGGTACAGCTGCCTCCTATTGATGAGCTGTCTCCACAGCCCTGCCCTGCCACATCCTAGGTGGTCAATGACAAAGAACAGAAGTTCAGGAGAGGAGCCTCTGTCTGGAGACAGCCTCTACCTGATATGTGAGGGAGGAGGTGCATCGAAAGGTCTTTTTTCTTCTTGTTTGGCTGACCCTTGCTTTTATATTGATTTCGAAATTCAGGAGCCCCAACAAGTTCTTCAAGAAGAGCTACAACTACAAGTACATTCAAACCTATCAATGGACCCAGAACTACTCCAAGGCAAACCAGAACTACACCCAGGAAACTCATCACTACTCCAAGGAAACCAGCAACAACTAAAAAACCCACAGCTACCACAAGGAGACCCTCAATCACTCTAAAGCCCACAACTACTCCAAGGAGACCCACAACTACCACAAAACGCACAACTACTACAAGGAGACCCACAACTACCACAAAACGCACAACTACTACAAGGAGACCCACAACTACCACAAAACGCACAACTACTAAAAGGAGACCCTCAGCTACCACAAAACCCACAATTCCTACAAGGAGAC